TTGGTTTCAAGCCTCACCCTAGAGTGCTAGCAAACTCAGGGCCTCGAAGTCAAGTCTTTCTAGGTCTGCCCTGAACCTGGCAAGCATACAAACAGAAAGCAGAATGTGGTCACCTGGCTAGGAGGAGGAGTGGTGACAAAAGGGCTGGGCAATAAGTTCTGTGAGACAAAGGACCTGGACATTGGTGACAGTGGCACACAGTGTAAATGCCCTTAATGCCACACAACTAAGCTTTTAGTAATGGTTAGAATGGCTAAAATGGCACCATGAAACAGGCCTCAAATACCAGCACTTGGGAGTAGAGATAAAATATATAAACTTTTTGTTGTTGTTGTTTGTTTGTTTCTCAAGACAGGGTTTCTCTGTGTAGCCTTCACTGTCTTGGATTTGTTTTGTAGACCAGACTGGCCTCCAACTCACATAGGTCCACCTGCCTCTGCCTCCCTGAGTGCTGGGATTACAGGTCTGTGCCCCTGAGACTGGCTCGAATACATAAAAGTTTAAGGCCAGCCTGGTCTACCTAACAATGTCTAGGCTAGCCTGGGCTATGGAGAGAAATCTGTCAAAAAGAGGAAGGAAGGAAGGAAGGAAGGAAGGAAGGAAGGAAGGAAGGAAGGGAAGAAGGGAGGGAGGGAGGGAAAGGGGAGGGGGAGGGGAGAAAAGACCAGTGAAATGGCCAGATGGCTCAGTGGGTAAAATACTTGCCTAGCAAGCCTGACCACCTGACTGAAAAGAATTCACATTAACAAACAAACCTGGATTCTTGAAGGCAATGGACACAGCTGGCAACCCCAGCATTCCTAAGGCAAGTTGGGTAATAGAGACCAGAGACTCCAGGAATCCTGCAGACCAGCTGGTCGGGAGTACAAAATGCTGCAGCAGAAAGAACAGGAGACTGTCTCAAAACAGGGTAGAAGGAGCCAGGCGTGGTAGCACACGCCTTTAATCAGAGCACTCAGGACGAAGATGCAGGCATATCTCTGTGAGTTCAAGGCCAGCCTGGTCTACAAAGAGAGTTCCAGGACAGCCTGGAAACCCTGTTTTAAAAAACAAACAAACAAATAAAAATGCAAACAAACAGAAAATAAAACCAAGGTAGAAGGAAAGAATTGATTCTGAAAATGAATGTGCCCGAACTCACACATATGTGGATGTATATAAATCAGTATAAAGTAAGGAACTAGATAATTATTCTCTGAACAGGGAGAAAGGAAAGGAAATTGAGCAGGAAGAATAGAAGGCTTCAACTCACTCTATGATGCCTCTTCCTTAGTCTGGTTAAGTATAAAGGTACATAAATTTAAAAACCAAGACTCAAACCTCAAGTCAAAATAATCAACATTAGGGCTAGAGAGATTGCTCAACAATTAAGAGCACATACTATTTTCACAAAGTACCTGAGTTTGGTTTCCAGCACCCACATTGGGCAGATTACAACTACCTGTTATTCCTGCTCTAGGCTCTGATATTCTCTCCTTGCCTACATTCTTGTACACCCACATACACACAACCCACACACATAAACACACAATTAAAAATAAAATCTTTAACCACTTATGAGATAAATGTGGTTGTACACGTTTGGTAATTCCAGGACTTATGAAGCTGATGCAGGAGAATCACGCCAAATTTGACACCAGCCTGGGTTACATGGTGAGATTTGTATCAAAAACAAACAAAACAAAACAAAAAACCCCCAGAACCTTAAAGCCAAACCTCTCAATAACCTTACGTCTTCCATTTTCACGGCACACCCAAATAACATCAGCTTCAAAAATAATTAGAATCCTCTGTGTATCTTTGTACTCTCCAAAACCAAAACTGTATCTACACTTTTATCCTTGTGGATGACTAGTGTGTAGGTAACTTTGGGTATTTAGGTGTGAGAGCATGACAGCATGTCAGGCTGTGAGTCTTCAAAGGGTGTGGCTTCCAAGCCTGATGCCTTGGGGAATAATTCCTCCTGCACCTACACACAGCTTCATAGCCTGAGCCAGACACACCTCATCACAGTCACACATATTCTCCCATCTTCTCCAACCAGAAACCTTTCCCCTTTATTTTTGAGACAAAATCTTATGCTACAGCCAAGGCTGGCTTGGAACCTCAGGCCTCAACCTCACAGCCATCCTCCTGCTTTAGCTTCCCAAATCCTGAGATCACAGGCATGAGCTACCATAATTGGCTTCAAATTGGAGACCATTTATGAATGAATAGTTCTACCAGTGACCACTGAAGAGAAGGAACTCTACCCAAAGTCAGATCTTACCACTCAAATTATAGGAAGGATTTCTTTTCCCCCTCTGTATTTTAAAAGTACTGTGTGCTTTCCTAACAATTTCTGATACTGTGTAATAGGAGATGTCTGGCTTACTCAGCAACAATGTTTCCTTTGAGAAGGAGTCCTGGCAGGTATGTTTATATATACATACCTATAGTACACCTGTGTGTTTTGGGGTGTGTGGGAGTATGTCCCTTAATTAATCAGAGTAAGATCCTGGTCAACCCACAAGTATAACAGAAGATGAAGGTACAGAGAGACACATAAGCACCACACAACCAACACAAGAAAAGAGCATGCGACTTCACCAGCACATTCCATAGGCAGGTATGATGTCAGCACCCAGAACCTTGACACGGTTCTTTCTCCACTTCTCTGGATCCCTTTGAAGAGTGGCGAAACATTTTTTAGAATAGCAGAAACAAGATGATTCTGTGGTTTTCTCTGACAAAGGAAGTGGTGTGTGATTTGAATAGGTTGGTGGCAAAGAAGCAGGCGTGAGGTCTGCGGACGAGCAGGGATGGCATGAGAGCCTCACTTAAACTAAGCCCTTGAGCTGTCACCATGTGTAGGTAAGCCACTCAGAAACTGTGTTGCTCTGGTCTTTTTTTTTTTCCTCCATGTAAACCAGTGTGACCTTCCCAAGTGCTGGGATTATACACGCATGTTGTCACCTCTGGCTTCTCAGCTTGCTCTTGATCTACACTTAGTGACATGGGCTCTTTCCTCTGTGTCCTCTGACCTTTAGTCTTATTCTCTCCTTCCTGTGAAGAAGTTCTACCTTAAACCTCAGGTAGATACTTCCTGAGATAATAACTATACATCTTAGACAGGTCTGATCTTTTCCAGGAGAGGGAGAAAGATAAAATACCATAAACTTGGCTTCCTACATCCTTTTCTGTCTTTACTGTGTCCTTTCCCCCTCAGGATCATATTTCTTGACAAATTATGACAATTTAAAGGGAAGAAAACTCAAAAGTTCCCTTTCTGAAGTCAGTAAAACTTTCTGCTGTGGTTAAAATGAAGAAAAAAACAAAAAACAAAAAACTCTAACTTTGTGTGTCTGCCCTGAGCACAAAGGGCTAAAAGACTAGGTCACTGGAGCCCAATCAAGTGCAGGGTGGACAGCTCAGACATTACGTTCTACTATGGAGTCACACAAGTGTCATTTTCATATACAAAGGCCACCCAGTCAGCCATCAAGCAGCTACTGAATGCCTGACTGTGCTCAGGACAGTTACATGACAAGGTCAGCCTGGTTTGATGCCGGCATGACAGATGCCACACTATGAGTCAGGAGTCCTAACAATTATTTGACTTGGGGGTGGGGACCCCAACTTCTTTGTTCCAAGGCCTGTTTCCTATACAGCTTAGGCCTTAGGTTTCTTCCAACCAGAACTGTGATGAAACACGAAACAGGGGAATGAATTTCTTCATTCTTCCATCTCCAGATATTTCCGGATAGCTGGAGAGACTGAGCAGCTGACCCTAAATTGTGATGTCTCTGTAAGGGCCCAGTGTGGTTCACCTGGATGTGTGGACACCTTCCTCCTGGTCAAAGGGGCCACCCACGTGTGTCCGGTTTACAGTGCTCCAGATATATTTTCTCTCCCATCCCATGAAGTGTCCCAAGCTTGTCCTGCATCACGGCCTTCCCACATGCTGGACTTGCTCCTTGGGCTTCCTACAGGAATGGCAGTGGGTTTGTCCCTTCTTCAGATCTGCTCAGTTGCTACCTTCTAGAAGGTCTCTCTAAATAAGTTCTTTCCTATTATGTTATTTTCAAGTTCCTGGGACATAAAATCATTTTGTCTGCTTGGGGACCCCTGTCAACTAGATGTAGGTGGGGGTGGGGTGTCCTGTTTTATTCAGGACTGTGCAGTCTGCCAGGCATGGTGTTGTGTCTGTAATCCCAGCATTTCAGAGGGTGCCATAGGAGGACACTGAGTGTGAGGACCCCCTGGGCTAGAGACTGCGCTCTAGGTCAGCCTGGCCTAGAGGGAAACCCTGCTTCAAAAAAATTAAAAAGATAGAATTGTGGTACTGGAGGGGTGGCTCAGCAGTTAAGCGCACTTGCTGCTCTTGCAGAGAAAGCTAGTTCTGTTCCCACTGGGTCAGGGTCAGGCATCCCTGACCTCCAACTCCATTCTCTGGCCTCAGAGGGCACCGTACTCACAGGACACACGGTCACACACACAGGGCAGGAGTTTTAATTCTACACTCAAGGCTGATACTGTCCTAAATTCGGAGGAAGCTCACGGCCTCTGGACCTGGTTCCCACTCAGTCTCCTTCTTCAGGACTCTGAGATTCAGTCTAGACGTTTCTTCGCATTGTTTGCTTTTTATTTTTTGAGGCAGGGCCTCACTACGAAGAGCTGGCTGGCCTGGAACTCACAAGCACAAGGATTGAAAGCTAGAGCCACCATGCTCAACGTCTCTGCTCCTTGAGTGTCTGTTTTTTTATCTTGAGGGGGGGGAAAAAAAGGCTCTTATGACCTCACGACATACTCACGCTCACCGCAGTGACATCATGACCGCGTGGAGAGCGTCACAATGCGCCCAACATCCCTCTCGCTCCTCCTCAGAAGCCTCTGACCTAGTCACAGAGGCGCGACGTGCTCCGGGCGGTGAGCTCGCGCGCCGATGACGTCACACCCAGCGCTGGCGTCACGTGCCCCCCCTCGGGGGGTGGGGCCTGAGGGCGGCGCTTCCGGTCGGCAGAGCCTGGCGGCCGGAGTGGCGGCGGCGGTGGCTGCCGAGTGGCGGGATGGCGGGGTCCGTGAGCGAGGCGCGCTTCGCGGGACTGTCGCTGATGCAGCTGCACGAGCTGCTGGAGGACGACGCGCAGCTCGGCGACATGGTGCGGGGAATGGAGGAGGTGAGCGCCTTGGGACGTGGGGAAAAGGGTACTGGGAAGGCGCGCCGGCAGCCAGAGTGGGGCCCTGAGGCGGGGATCGAGGGGCACCTAGGGCCCCGGGCAGGCTGGAGACGGGGATCAGAGCCTAGAACTGGGACGTGGACTCTGTGGGGCCGGGGCTGGGCCCGCGAGAGGGAGTGAGGGCGCTGAGATTGGCTTGGTAGGGGTGGAGGGGACTGCCGTTGGGTCTCTCAAGGACTAGGGGACCAAAGCAGGTAGATTAGGCACGGATTTGAGAACGCTTTGAAAGGAACGGTTGGGAAGTTGTAGGGACACTGAAGCCAGTTCATGCGGATCGGATCTGGGCACTAGCTCGAGTAGACGGACGGTTCCTAGCTGGGCTTGTGGAGAGCGGAGGTCTGTAGCTGTGTTCTAGGATGGGATTCTGAGAGGGGTCCTCGACGTTCAGAGGCTCCAGGCCACAGACAGCCCGGGTTAGGGGCTGCCGGCTCCCCAAGTGCCGCTTCCCATGAAAGTGGCCCTAGCAGAGTTAGCTCAGGAGTTCCTTTCTTTGCTTGTTCTGTGAACATTCTGTGGTTAGCTCTTTCCCCAAGCATCCCGGCTTTCGTGTAAAGAAGGGATCGAGGGAATTCTAGCATGGCCCGTCTCTTTGGGTTCCTGAAATTGCTTCTGGCAACGGAGTAAATGGGGGCTGGGAGCTGACTGCTGACGCCCCTTCTCTCTAGTCCAGGGTCAGCCCAGCCTTTGGAAGGCATGTGCCCGCCCGTGTTTCTGGTTATCTTCCTCCACACCACGCCTGTGGTTTGCTTTGAGTAGTGACTGACTTCACCCTTACGGGTCTGCCCCGAGCACTTCCTTTTTCCTTCTCTCCCAGCTGGACCTGACTGATGTTAGGAGTCTGGGGCTGTCTGATCCAGTTCTCCCTGGCCAACCTACCTTCTTTGTCTGGAAAGTCTGGGCTTTCCTATGTCGGCAGTTGCTTAGCTTCTCCTGCCAGAAGCTGGTATAGGGGGCTTTTGGCTTGCTTTCCGAAGAGGGATTGTTCCGCACCCAGCCAGCCGCCTTCCAAGGGGGCTTGTGAGAAGGTTGTACATTCAGAATCCCTGGAAAACCCTCAACAGATCATTGTCTGCCACTACAGAGAGGCCACTGTAGTAAGATGGTATCAGTCTTTCCATTAATACACCCCTTGTATTCATGGGCTCTGCAGCTTGGCACATAGAACGTTGCTCTGAGATGCAATTTACCCGGTTTGTGGTATCCATGTGGCACTTTCCATTTCAGAGAATAAGAGACAAAATCCATCTTTCTTGACTGAATGAGAATTCTGTGTCTGCACAAGAAAGCACAGTCCTTGCTTGGCTTCTCTGCAGTTTGGGGGAGATGTTTTGTTGGCTGTCGGCAGAGCATCTTTCTAGTTTAATAATAAAATGATGGGTATGCTTTTCAGCGTATGACCCTGTCTGCAAGCTGCTACTTTGCTGTATGTGACTATTTTGTGTCAATCAGAGCAGCTACTGAAACTCTGTAGGTAGAACATTTAATAAAATAAGCTGTTTTTTGGAGGGATTGGTGGAGAATGAGTCATATAGACAGTGACTCCAGCCTCACTGTGTCCTCTCCCTAAAAACCTAGAAATTGATTTTGTTGTTATTGTTTTACTTTGATATATATATATACACATATATATATGTATATATATATATATATATGTATATACATATATATATATGGCTGTCCTGGAAGTCAATTTGTAGTCTGGGTTGGCTTTGAACTCACAGAGATGGCCTTGTCCCTGCCTCCTGAATGCTGGGATTAAAGTGCACACCTCTACACCTGGCTAAAACGTGGAGATTGAGGAAGAGGAAGGCAAATTAATGTAGCAGGATTTTTAGTTTTGATTTTTTGAGTAAAGGTGTCCTTCCTACCACAGTACCATATGGAACTACCGAGGACTGAGTGAGTAGACCACATGGGATTATTGAAGTTACTCAGCAGCAGTTGTTTTCGAAGGTATCATGCTTTTAAAACAGGGAAGTTGAAAACCAAAATATCTGGTCTGGAAACCCGTTGCCCTAGTTATGGGTAGTGGTTTCTAAAGGAACGGGTGTGACTCCAACAACCGTTGTTGGATTGTTGTTGTTTTCTTCTGGTTGTGAAAGTTTCCCTCACCTGACACTGTCACACATTTGTTTGTTTTGGGGTGGTTTCAAGAGAGAAGAGAAGATTCTGTGAAGCATCCATTCCTGACCAAATGGAGTATTATGAGAAAGTGTTAGAGAGCTTTTGGGTTTTGGAATCATAGACTGTCTATTGGACTCTGCTGCTTTGGTGCTGTGTGATTGTAGACAGGTCACACACACACACCTCTCTGAACAACTCTTGGGAAGGACAGTGCGATGTTTGATAGAGTTGATAAGGGGCCGATGAGATGGCAGCTTTTAACATGCCTGACACATTTTATGGTTAGTGCACATAACATAGCTTAGGGTTAGAGTTCAGTGTTCAGTCAAGAGCAGTTGCTGGAACTGGAGTGATAGCTCGGTTGGCAAGGTGCCTTCTGTGGAAGCATGAAGACCTGGGTTCAATCCCCAGAGCCCATGTAAAAAGCCAGGAATGGTGACTCAAATTTGTCTCCCCCAGGACAGGGAGACAGGAGGATTCCTGGGGCATTGGCCAGCCGCCTAGCCTACCTAATGGGTGAGCTTGTAGGCCTGTAAGAGACCCTGTTTCATAAAACAGGATGGACTGTATCTGAGGAGGCAGGGCATACCCAAGGTGGAACTCCCAAGGGTTTCCTCTGGCCTCCACACTCTCGTGTGTGTTGCTCTGTGTACCCATGCACATATGTGTGTGTATGTACACACATACATACAGAGTTAACACCTGTGGTTCTCTTTTTGAAAGAATAACTGATGAGCCAGAGACATGGCTCAGTGGTTAAGAGCGCTGACTGCTCCTCTAGAGGTTCTGAGTGCAAATCCCAGCGACCACATGGTGGCTCACAGTCATCTACAATGGGATCTCATGTCCTCTTCTGTCATGCAGGCATACATGCAAATAGAACGCTCGTATACATAAATAAATAAATCTTAAAGGAAAAAAAGAGGAAAGAATAACTGATGTCACCCCAACAGATAAATAGGCTATCATTTAAAAAATTTTAAGATAAATTTTGACTTGCCGTGAGCCAAGGAAGCATTTTACCTTACTATAGTCAGAAGGCTTGTGTGACTCGATGTCTCTAGGAAGCATTGGGGAGTGGAATGGGCCTCTCACAGGACAGAATCTCATAAGCTGGAAAGAAGGCGCGTGCTCTCTCTTACTCTCGCTTTCTAAACTGGCAGAAGGAAGTGTTGTAAATTGCAGAGCGAGGCTTCTCCCAGCCTGAGGGGATATTTTGTGGCCTGTAAAGTGTGGCTTGTTGAAGGCATTCGCTGTTGGGCCTAACTGCAGTGGCATCCAGCTCACTTACACTATTTTAATTGCAGTGTGTGAGTTTTAGCATGGCTCCAGACATTAAAATGACGTCGGGGCTCCATAGCCCCGTAGCTCCATGTATTTTCTCTTTTCCTGTCTCTCCTGTCGTGTTGTTCCCTAAATGCAGACATCATTTGTGGGCCTGGCTACCCTGGAACTCACTGTAAACTAGGCAGGCCTACATAAATCCACCTGCCTCTGCCTCTGCCTCAGTGGGATTAAAGGCCCGCACCAGCATGCCTGGCTGATTTTGTGTATACGTGGGTATTGGTGCACACGTAGGAGTCAGAGGACAACTTTGAAGAGTAGGTTCTTTCCTTACTCTCTGGGATGGAGGGATCAAAAATTCAGACTTGTACAAGGGTCTTTACCCCCTAAATCAGTGGTTCTCGACCTGTGGGTCGAGACCTCTTGGGAGGTTGACCAACCCTTCCACAGGTGAACTAAGATCATCAGAAACACAGATACGTACAGTACAATTCATAGCAGTAGCAGAGTTATACTTACGAAGTAGCAGGGAAAACGATTGTTTGGGTAGGGGTTACCACGACGAGAGGAACTGTATTAAATGGTTGCAGTTAGGAAAGTTAAGGACGCCTGCTTAAACCAGCTTACTGGCCTTCTTTCTTTAAGTTATTTTTACATGGCAGTGGAATGTGCCTTCATCTGTCCACATGAACCCCGTTGACTGGCAAGGCGCTCCCATAAAAGGAATGGTTGCTTGGGGGATTGGGCAAATAGACGGGACCTCTTGGGTCACTTCTCCCTGTGTGTCTTCTAAGGAAATGCTGCCCGGTCTGCAGTCTCACAGAGGATTCAAATTCCGAAGCTTTGTTCCTGTGGGAATGGAAGTGCCAGCACACAGAAATGCTGGGCCTCTGAAAAGACAGTGTTTGTGGAAAGTAAAGAGCTCTGGTCTGGAAGAAGCTGCTTCCTTGAGGCCTGTTGGCTGTGATTTGTGTGTGACAGAGGCCACTGCCCCAGTCATAGTGGCTCATTGAAATGGAACGCTAACCCGGGTCTCCTTTGGAACTCACAGGCTGAGTCATTGCTGGTGGGATTCAGGTTTCTAGAAGCCAAGAATTTGAACTTGCTGAGGCTATGCAGGCAGGGAGCGTAGGGTTCGAACTCTGAAGCCTGGCTCTCCTGGAACTGACTATGTAGACCAGGCTGGCCTCAGACTCATAGAGCATCTCCTGCCTCTGCCTCCCAAGTGCTGGGATTAAAGGTGTGAGCCATCATGTCTGGCTTTTTTCGTTTTTTAGATAGTGGTGTTGCAGTTTTTTGGGAAGATGATAGGTAAGAGTCACGTGACTGAGTGAATGCCTTTACGATACTTGAAGTGTGGGAGCTTCAGTTTTCTCCACCTTTAGGGAGAGAATGGTCGTGCCTGCCCTTTAGTGTTTTTGCAACCCTGAGGGGTGTTCCCCAAAGGTCATCCCCAATTCTTAGTCAGAGCTTTTCTGAAATGGTAGATTGAAGCAGGTGGATTGTCACAAATTTATGACGAGACTGTCTCT